CCGGATCATTAGGGGTGATTCACCCAGAACTCACCTGGCTGTCAGGGACCTGTGCCCCTGCCACTGGAACCAGCTAAGCAGGCATCCTCGACGGGCACAGAGTCCTTCCAAGTGCACTCCCTCCTCCCTGGTGCCCAGGGCATAGCCTGCCAGTCACCCAGAATTCAGAGTTCCTTTGTTTGACCGACAAGTATTTCCTAAGTACCTGTTGTATGGTAGGCGCTGAACTTGGTGTTGGCAACTCCAGGCGTCTCTAGCCACCCCACCTTGGAATGCACATTCTCAAAGGGGAAGTCAGTAAGACATGATTCCAGCCATTAGGGACAGACTCAGCAGAGGTTCGAGGACACCCAGAACATAGTGAGGTCTGGCTCAGCAAAAACAAAAATAAATATATGAATAATAAATGAGTCATATAATCTTTTTTTCCTTGTGTGGTTTTATTGAGACTGGGTCTCTGGTTGTCCTGCCTTGGCTGTCCTGGAACTTGCTACATAGACCAGATTGGCCTCCACCTGTCTCTTCCTCCTGAGTGCTAGGATTAAAGGCATTGCACCACCATGCCCAACTTGAAGATAGTGTTATAGTGAAAAATAAATCCAGGAGGACTAGAAGATGAGAGTTGTCATCTTTGGGAGGCTGTGCGTGTTTGCACGCCTTTAATCCCAGCACTCGGGAGGCAGAGGCAGGTGGATCTCTGTGAGTTCGAGACCAGCCTGATCTACAAAATGAATTCCAGGACAGTCAAAGATACAAAGAGAAACCTTGACTTGAAAAAAACAAAACAAAACAAAAATTACTATTGGTGTGTGTGTGCGCACGCGCACACACACACACACACACACACACACACACACACACACACGAGAGTGTAGTACCCACAGAAGCCAGAAGAGGGTGTCAGTTCCCCTGGAGCGAGGTGGGATATGAACTCGGGTTCTCTTTAAGAACAGCAGCCCCACTTAACTGGTGAATCATGGCTCCAGGCTTGGGGATGTAATTTTTAAAATGTGTTTATTTATTTATACTTGTAAACTTGTAAACCCGGAGACCTGAATTTGATCCCCCCCAACCCACATTTTAAAAAATGGAAAGAGGCTGGGCATGGTGGAACTTTAATCCCAGCACTTGGGAGGCAGAAGCAGGTGGATCTCTGAGTTCAAATCCAGTCTGGTTTACGAAGTGAGTTCCAGGACAGCCAGGGCTGTTACACAGGGGGAAAAAAATCAAACAAAACAAATTTATATGTAATAAAAATTTTATAGCTGGGTGTGGGAGCACATGCCTTTAATCCCAGCACTTGGGAGGCCGAAGTAGGCAAATCTCTGTGAGTTCTAGGCCAGCCTAGTCTACATAAGGGAGTTCCAGACCACAATGAAACTCTCTCTCACTCTCTCTCTCTCTCTCTCTCTCTCTCACACACACACACACACACACACACACACACTTTAAAAGACATGCAAAATAGAGGCATGGTGATGTAGTTGGGAGGCTGAGGCAGGAGAACCATAAAGCATAAATTGGAAGCTAGCCTGGGCTACATAGCAAGAGCCATCTCAGAAATCAGACCGAAGGCAATAGGCAGAGAGCCACAAGGTCCAGGCTGTAAAGGTTGGGAACTAACCGCCATTGTGGGATAACGTGCCTTGCTCTCTGAGGTATTGTTCAGGTGACAGGGCCCCAGCAGAGTTAGAAAGAGTGGACCAGGTAAGGAGGCTCACATTGTTCAAGGTCATCCTCTGACAGTACTGAGTGAGGAGCTAGCCTGGGTTAATCAGGGAAGACCCAAGGTCAAGCAAACACAAAAAGACAGGGTTACCGTTTTGAAGTGAGGAACAGCTAATTCGTAAGCAGCTGTGAAGGTGAAGTCTGTTTTTGTCTTGCTTTGTTTTGTTTTAGTAACTTCCCCCAAAATACCCGAAGCTGGACATAGAATTTTGCCAAAGTCCCAGAGCAAATTTCCAAAATCCTTGCTTTCTGATGGAGCCACAAGGTCCCGGTTCTGTGGTCTGCTGACAGGGTTCCCAGGTCATTGTTGGGGTGTTCCCTGGGTCCCTGTGACTGACCTGAGTCACCATTGCTCGGTGCTCACAGTCAGGGCTGCTCCACCTCCCAACCAGGAGGCAGACCCCCCGTCCTGAGGGTCACCCTCAAGCCCTCAACAAAACTGATCATTGGGTGTTCTGCAGAGGCTGTGAGGGGGCGGGGCTGGGGAGAGTAGATGCCACCCCCACCTCCCTTGTGCACTGGCCTCCTGGCTCCTGCCTCAGCAGATCCTAATACCTGCCTTGCCTTCTCTTCTCATTTAAAGTTTGTCTGGGGGCTGGAGAGATGGCTCAGAGGTTAAGAGCATTGCCTGCTCTTCTAAAGGTCCTGAGTTCAATTCCCAGCAACCACATGGTGGCTCACAACCATCTGTAATGAGGTCTGGTGCCCTCTTCTGGCCTGCAGACATACACACAGAAAGAATATTGTATACATAATAAATAAATAAATATTTTTAAAAAAATAAAATAAAGTTTGTCTGGGAAAAGGCCCTACTGGCCATGAAAGCAGTGACGGCAGAGGCCTAGGATGGAGTAGGAACCTCAGGCCTCAAGAAGTCCAGGACCAAAGTCTGGGGTCAGGGAGGCCCCCCAACGTGGGCTTGCCTTCTCTCCAGGTTTACAGGACTCTTGGCCCAGCCCCTATTGTCATCTGCCCTGTGGTGAGCAGTACCATCTTGGCCACCTTGACCCACGGGATTCTCAGGAAGGTTTTTGGTTACGGAGTAGCTCTGTTCCTGGAGACAGTTGCCCAGAAAGCACAGAAGTGTGTGGGCACATGGGCAGCCCTCATGTGGCTGGCAGGGAAAAGCTCTGCTGTCTCAGCGGGTGCCCCCTCAGACCTGCCAGCACAGGTGTGTTTGGGGACTGACAAAGTGGCATCTGAGGAGCTCTGGTGACCAGTATCTCCATTTCTGAGCCCTGTTTGACCACCCACAAGTTCTCTGGGCTAGGGTAGGCACCAGGACGGTTTCAAAGCCCAAGGACACACAACCTCCATCTCTGAAACGTTCTCATTGAGAAAGTGAAAGCGATAGATTCACATGGGACTCCTCCCAAGCTTGAGAGCCACAGGGATCAGGAACAGAGGGGGGTTGTGGAGAGGGCCAGGAAGCAGCGGGCCCCTTGGCAGGCCCCAGGGTGCCCTACCAGCTGCAGCCTCATCCTCTGTCTCTCTATGTGTCCATCTAGTATCCACTAATCTGTCTGTCTGTCTGTCCATCTGTCCACGGGAGTCGCATGTAGCCTAGGCTAGCCTTGAATTCCTTAGGCAAATCTTAAACTCCTGATCCTTCTGCCTCTCCCTCCTGAGTGTCGGAATTACACGTATACATCAATCACATTGCCCAATTTATAAGGTGCTGGAATACAGAGTCTCCTGCAAGCTGGCTAAACACTATACCAACATTCTCTGCAATCTAACCACTGTACTGTTGTGCACCTAGAAGACTCTAGAAAAACTCAAGGATAGCTACAGCGACCATCACACTGATCTTTGACACAGATCCAGGTTGCAGGTTTATTTAAATTTTAAAGATATGGAAACTCAGCGGGTGTGAGTTTCCCACGTCTGAGGAGGCAGAGTTTGAGGCCAGCCTGGTCTACAGACTGAGTTACAGGACAGCCAGGGCTACAGAGAAACCCTGTCTCAAAAACTAAGCAAAGAAAATAATAATATTAATAACGATTTTTGTTTCATTTAATTTACTTATAGATGCATGTTTGTTTTTAGTATATGTGCGGCCGAAGCAAGCACCATATATGTTGTTTTTATTTTTTATTGTGTTTATTTATTTATATACACATTTGCTGATAAAACCTCGCTTTGTAGCCTTGGATAGCATGGAACTCATTTTGTAGACCAGGTTGACCTCAAATTCACCGAGATCCCTCCAGAGTGCTGGGATTAAAGGTGTGCACCACCACCATCACCTGGCTATTATTTTTATTATTTTATTATGCTGTTGTTGTTTGAAACAGCATCTTTCTACATAGCCCTGACTGTCCTGGAATTCACTATGTAGACCAGTCTAACCTTGCCCTCCTGGGTGCTGGGATTAGAAGCATGTGCTAGCATGCCCAGCTGAGATAAAAATTTCAGCTGAGCGGCGGTGGCACATGCCTTTATAATCCCAGCATTCGTGAGGCAGAGGCAGTTTGATCTCCGTGAGTTCCAAGGCAACCTGGTTTGCAGAGTGAGTTCCAGGACAGCCAGTGCTGTATTACAGAGAAACCCTGCCTCAAAAAATAAAGAAACAAAAAAGGTCTCTGTGTGGTTGTTTGGTAGCCAACGGTCACAAAGAAAACCACCACCTACCGTCCATAGAAACTCTCAAAAGGACGCATGTAAGGCCATACTGCTAGGGTAGCAATGAGCACAGTATGACTCCAGGTGCCCAGGTCACCACCACCAGTGGCCTTACCCTGGCTGGCTCAGGAACCTGGGTCCAGCTGGCCCAGAGCTGCATCCAAGACCTAATAAGCTGGGTAGGGTAGGTTCTGACCCTCAAGACAGAAGGTTTAGCCCTGAGTGCCCAGCCAAACCTACAAGTGCCACCCTGTGCCATTGCCAGACCCAGAAAACAACTGATCTGGTCAAAAAGGTCAGGCTGGAGTCCAGTTAAGCACAGAGGCCTGGCAGCCAGCATCCATGGGTCATGCTGGGGGCACCAGGCCATGACATACTATGAACCCACTGTGTCCTTGGTGATCAGAGAGGAGAGGGTGGGGACCAAATCCACTGGATATCTGCTCTGTTTGCCACCTGGGCCAAGCGTGGGCCACTAGTGCAATGGTTGTGACCAGCAGTGGTGATGGAGGAGGGTTATCTGTCTATTGTGTTATTTTCATTGGTCAATAAAGAGACTGCCTTGGCCCCTTGATAGGACAGAAAATTAGGTGGGCGGAGTAAACAGAACAAACTGCTGAGAAGAGGGCTATGAGCCAGACGCCATGGAGCCAGCCACCAGGTCAGACATGCTGAATCTTTTCCGGTAAGCCACCACCTCGTGGTGCTACACGAGATTATTAGAAATGGGTTAATATCAAGATATGAGAGTTAGTCAGTAACTAGCTCTCTAGAGATAATGGGCCAGGCAGTGCTTAAATGAATACAATTTGTGTGTTGTTATTTCTGGGACTAAGCTAGCCATGCGGGAGCTGGGCAGGATGAAAAGCAGGCCTGCCCGCAGCTCCTCACTACAAGTTGGCAGAAGGGGCAACAGGACAGCCACCCAGTGGCCACCCACTGCCATTCGGAGATCTCATTACGGCATGTCCCCCATCACAAAAGGGTCTTGTATTCACAATGTGAAAACCGAGGATAACCAAAACCCCACATATACACGAAATAACACACCCATGCTGCTGTCTCCTTTCAACTCTGTAGAGTACAAAAGTTAAAAGACAAACGCTGGGGCTGGAGAGACGGCTCACCATCGAGAGCACTGGCTGCTCTTCCAAAGGGCCTGCTTCAGTTCCCAGCACCCACATGGCAGCTGACTCTAGTTCTGGCCTCCACACTGCACAGATATACATTCAGGCAAAATACCCACACAGAATTTTTTTTAATTATGATATTTTTTAAATATTTTCTTACTTACTTACTTATTTATTTATTTATTATATGCAGTATTCTATCTGCATGTATGCCTCCAGGCCAGAAAAGGGCACCAGACCTCATCACAGATGGTTGTGAGCCACCATGTGGTTGCTGGGAATTGAACTCAGGACCTCTGGAAGAGCAGGCAATGCTCCCAACCACTGAGCCATCTCTCCAGCCCCCCAGAATTTTTTTTTAGATTTATTTAAGTAAATAGTTAAAGACAAAAAACAAATGCTCGCATGCCCCCCCCCATCACCCTGCTCTTTCCTACCCCAGGTTTGCAGAGAGCTGGTTTTGACAGAGCTTTCTGGAAGGTTTCTTCTCTTGCTGTGAGAGGTGATAGGAGTTGATGTGTCCCAGAAGAGAAACAAAATCTTGGTTACTATGCAGATTGACCGCGCGCGCACGCACACACACACACACACACACACACACCTGGCGACCAGGGAGATGGCTGAGGTAGTAGAGGACTTGCTAGGATAGGATATGGACATGCACTGGGACCCCAGAACCAGGTTTTTAAAAACATGGAAACAGTGACTCTAAAAAAAAAAAAAAAACAAAAAAAAAAAAAACAAAAAACAAAAAAAACAATGTCATACATCTTCAACTCCTCTATGTAAGTACAGATATCGATATAAAGACACACTCAGAGACTCATGGGTAACTGATACCAGGATTCTTGTTTTCATTTTGTTCTTTTAAAGCAGAATCCCATGTGGGCCAGGCTGACCTAGAACTCACTATGTAGTCAAGGATGACCTCAGGTAGTTCCCGGGTGCTGGGATCACTGGCACAGGGTCCCCGCACTAGGCTTATGCGATGTGGGAAAAGGAAGCCAGGGGCTGTGTTCCACACTGTAAAGCACTGTGCCAATTGAAACACATACCCGAATGGTCTTTGGTCGTGTGATTTAAAAGTTTTCTTTCTAAATTAGGTGTTTATGTCGGGGGAGGGAGGTCCACGGGTCCATGTGCATCCAGGTGCCCCCGGGTGAGATTTACAGGTGGTTGTGAGCCACTCAATGAGAAAGGGCTGGGTACTGAACTGAAGTCCTCTGAAAGAGAGGAGTGAGTGCTCTTAGCTGGTGAGGTGTCTCTCCAACCACGTGATCACATGATTTTAATGGATCTATACACGCTGTCACAGAGAGCTACCCATTGCAAGTTAGCATCTCTGTCCCTTCACACGCGCGCATACACACACACACACACACACACACACACACACACACACAAAATCGTGCACGCACGCGCGCATGCTGTCTGTGAGTTTGCTGAACCATCCAGAGTGACCACCCTCTAAAGGACGTGTTGAGAGCAGGCTGAACCGTGGGACTTGGAACTGGCCCAACAACACCAGCATCCTTGCGGCTGAGTGCGCAGTCCCGTGTGAAGGGCGTGCCATCCACCTGAGCGACGGGGAAACGCTGAACCCGTGGCTGTCCCTCCTGCAGCGGCATGTGAATGAGGTGGACGCTGCGGGCAGGCGCCAGTAACTGACCACATTTAATTGCATTAGGCTATCCCCCCTCTATAAAAATAGTTCTTATTCTGGATGGGGGGAGGGGAGACAGTGGGCGCTGCTCTCTGAGGGTGAGCCGCATCTGCCACGCCCAAAGGCCCGCCCTCCGCTGCTGGTCTTTGGAGCCACACCCTAGCCACCAAGCCCCAGTCGGGGGTTTGGCCTGACACAGGTATCTGTTTACAACTGAGTAGGTAGGCGAGAAGGACCATTCAACTGAGCTGTGGCATCTTCTGTATTGGACAATGATTTCCCCAGCAAGCAGGACTCCACTCCCTAATATACTGCTGTGCTGTAGGTGCATAGAACCCAGAGGGCCGCAGCGGGAGGGAGCGGAGGCTATGTGAGAAGGTGATGGGCAGGAACAAGAAGCTAAATAAAAGCCAGGAAGCAGCAGGGGACACCAGGCCAAGAGTCAACGACTGTGGTTGACTTTGGTCTCAGTTTTTAAGGCCTGGAGAAAGAATTTGGGTACTCCCTGTAGAAGAGCTGTTCTGTATCACATGGGGCCCCTCCCCTGGCTACCTACCTTTCCAGTTCAGCTTTCCTATGACGCCTCCCTCCTTTTTGGCGGTAGCCAGAGTGGGTCTGGGTGTCCCATCAACTGTGGGACCCTCAGGGATGTGTGGAGAGGTCGCAGGTCCCTGAGCTCAGGTTTGCTGACCCCACAGCCAGGCTGCTGTCGTCACAGCCAGGGGTCTCCTCAGCCCTGGAGGAAGATGTCCTTGTGCTGGGAGAGTTCAAGAGTTCGTCAATAGTTTTCTCTCTTTGAGAGGGAACTGGCCTCTGAATTAATTCCCTGGGTCTCAGATTGTGAGTCTGCTTGATAAGTGTGTGTGTGTGTGTGTGTGTGTGTGTGTGTGTGTGTGTGTGTTTGTATGCATGCATTTGTAGGGTTTTGGGAGGGTTGTTTTGTTTTTTGTTTTAGGGTCTCTTGTAGCTTAGGCTGGCCTTGAACTCCTTTATACCCTAGAATGACTTCAAACTTCTCGAATATTGTTAGTAATTGTTATTTTGAGACTGGGTCTCACTTTGTAGCCCTGACTGGCCTGGGACTCGATATGTAGACCAGGTTAATTTTGAACTTAGACATCTGCCTGCCTCTGCCTTCCAAGTCCAAGTATTAAAGGCATGCGCCACTGTGTCCAACCACAAAGCTTGTTTTGACACTTCAGCAAGCTAAAGGATGTCAAGTGTCCTTGCCCAAAGCACGGAACAGAGATGGAAGGGGCTTTGTGCATCTCTGTCCCCTCTCCAGTCCCGGTCCTTCTGTATGCAGGAACTAGCCTGGATGGTGGCTGGGAGGGAGCCGGTCTGCACAGCTGGGCTTGACCACAGGAAACCTTCCCAGAAGGACTCTCTCTAGAGAGAGATGTCCCCAGGGTACAATTGGTCTGTAGCATCATCAGTGGATGCCCAGCTGCATTCTGGGAAGTGGGAGGTTGTTGGGAAGATCTGCTGTGACGAGAGCAGGCCTGGACAGAATGCACAGTCTCTCAGGGGAGCCAGCAAAGCGGGGAGGGAGGGCTGCCCAGCCCTGTGTGCATCTCCAGCCCTGCCTGGGAAGAGGACACCTGAAGAGAGACCAGTGGCCTTGCTGCCTCAGGGAAGGCAATTGTGTCCTCTCAAAGAGCATGGCGGTGACTCACCAGAGCGCCCCACAGCTTGTCATAAACATCCCCCGAGACAGCTAACTCCATCGGCCTTGATTCTATATTAACTCAGCCGTGCTCCATGGTTCCATAATTAATTAGGTTTCCTAGGTACCTCGAGACGAGAAGAGGGTGTCCCAACCTGTGGGCACAAATATTACTAACTCCATGAGAGCTCCCACACGCACTATGAATAGAAAGCTCAGCCTCCTCCAGTCTCTCCTCCTCTCTGAGAACAAGTTGGCATTGGTTCCTTTGTGAAAGGTGAGGGGCGGCCAAATAGCCTTGGTTGGAATAATTCTAAAATGTCAAGGGCTACCCAAGTAACCCAGTGGGAGGGTACTTACCCAGCACTCATGAGACCTTCGCTTTGATTCTCAGAACTGCAAAAGAAGAGAGAATTTGAAAAAGAAACAACAAAAAAAAGTTAAACTTTTTGACACATGACTGTAATCCCGTCAGAGAGCAAGACAAGACAGTTGATGTGTACATGGCCCTGTTGATAGCATGTTTGGGGGCATAAAACAGGCCCTGGTGACCCATGCCTGGCCTGTAATCACACTGAGGACGCAGAAACAGGAGGATTGGGAGTTCAAGGTCATTGTAGTTTAGTGTTGAATTCTGCTGCAGCCTGGGCTACATGAAACCACATCTCAACAAAGGCACAGGGCCTGGGGAGATACCTCATCCCATAAAATGCTTGCCACAGAGGCATGAGGACCAGAGTTCAATTCCCGGCACCCATGCAAAAGGCCAGGTATAGGAGCACATGTTTCTAATCTCAAACTGGGAGGTCAAAGACAGAGGGTCACAGGAGCACGGTGGTCAGTCAGTGATGCTTCACCCATGAGCCACTGAGTTACCCTGCCTCAAAAAGCAAGGTGGGGCTTGTGCTGCCAAGCCTGCTGATCTAGATTCAATCCTTGGGACCCCTGTGCCAGAAAGGATAAGTCCTCAAGTTTTGCTCTGATCTCCACATGCATTCTTCTGTGGCACACTTGCAGGTGTGCAAATACACATGCACACATACACACATGCACACCACATGCACACACATCAGATAAATGAAATCTTTTAAAAAGAGATTGGGGAGTTAGAGAGATGGCTTAGCAGTTAAGAGTGTGGGCTGCTCTTCCAGAGAACCTGGGTTCAATTTCCAGCACCCATCGCCAAGAGAGAAACTAAAAATTTTACATGTTATGGCCAGGTGGTGATGGTGCATGCCTTTAATCCCTGCTTGGGAGGCAGAGGCAGGTGGATCTCTATGAGTTAAAGGTCAGCCTGGTCCACAAAGCAAGTTTCAGGACAGCCAGGACTGTTACACAGAGAAACCCTGTCTCAAAAAACCAATAGAATTTAAAACATTTCTACATGTTATTTCACCTTAGATTTTTTTTTTTACACTTATGTATTTGTGGGGTGGGGTGGGGATGGGGGCACATGTGTGTGAGACAGTCACGGCATGAATGTGGAGGTCGGAGGGCAACTCACAAAACCCAGCTCTCTCCTTCCATCGTGTGGATTCCGCAGATCTACCTTGGGTCCTCAGCCTTACCGGCATGTGCCATTCCACGCTGAGCCACCTGGCTGACCATGTATTTCACCTTCAATGTAAGAACCGGTAGTAATTCAGCCGTCAGAAATGTCTAAGGAGGGAGCTGGAGAAGTGGCCGGAAGTTTAGAGTAATGGCTGCTCTGGCGGGGGACCATTTGTCCCCAGCACCCAGGTGATACCTCACAGTCACCTTAACTCCAGCCCAGGAGATCTGATGCCCTCTTCTGGCCTCTGAGGGTAACACACACACACATACACACACACACACACACACACACACACACGTTAAAATTATAACTCTTTTGAAAGTATGTAAGGCAGTGTGGAACCATTTGGATACAATCTTCTGGTTTTCCCCTGTAGGTTTTATGGAAGTGAACCTGCAGCACAAGCTCTTCCAGTGGGAAGCTGCTGCAAAGATGAAGACGCCCATTTCAAAGGTAGCTTTTTATCTTCTGTTGTCCAGACCTGGGTCTCACAATGTAGCCCTGGCTGGTTTGGAACTTACTCTGTAGACCAGGCTGGCCTCTCAAGTGCTGGGATTAAAAGCGTGTGTCACTACCCCTGGCCTCAAAGGTTTAATTTTAATTAAATTTTTTTTTCATTTACATACCAACCACAGTTTTCCCTCCTCTCCTTCTCCTCTCCTTCTCCCCACACCTTCACCCCCACCCTACCCCCACTCCTCAGAAAGGGTGAGACGCCCACGGGTGGTGTGGGAGAATTGTCTATATTATGTCAATCATGTATTTTAATAAAACTCTGATTGGCCATGCAGGAAGTATAGGCAGGTCAACCAGACAGGAAGTAGAGGCGGGGCAATGAGAATAGAATAAGGCTACGGAGGAGGAAAGTCCCTCCGCCACTCCTGCACAGACCACCGAAGAGGCAACATGTAAGCTGTCACACTGAGAAAGGTACTGAGCCCATGTGGCTAACACAGATCAGAATAATGGGTTAAGATAAGTCATAAGAACTAATAAGTAGCCTGACCTAATGGACCAATCAGCTTATAACCTTATGGAGTCCTGTGTGTGATTTTCGTTGGGAGTTGCCGGTTGTGGGGTACCGGGCGGGACAGAAACCCCAACAAGCCGGCCCCCTCATGTTACACACGGGGAGTCAACAAAGCTTGGTTTATCAAGCTGAGGCAGGACCAAACCTCTTCTTGTATCAAGGTTGAGCATGGTATCCCACCACAGGGAATGGGCTCCAAAAAGCCAGTTCATGCACCAGGGATAAATCCTGGTCCCACTGCCAGGGGCCTCACAAGAAGACCAAGCCACACAACTGTCATTCACATTCAGAGGACCTAGTTCGGTCCCATGCAGGTTCCCCAGCTGTCAGTACCAACTCAGTGAGCATCCACTAGCTCAGGTCAATTGTCTCTGTGGGTTTTCCCATCATGGTCTTGACCCCCCCTTGCTCATGTGATCCCTCCTCCCTCTCTTCAGTTGGACTTCCAGAACTTAGCCCAATGCTTAGCTGTGGATCTCTGCATCTGCTTCCATCAGTTACTGGATGAAGGTTCTATGATGACAATTAGGGTAGTCACCAGTCTGACTACAGGGGCAGGCCAGTTCAGGCACCCTCTCCATTATTGCTAGGGGTCTCAGCTGGGGTCATCCTTGTGGATTCCTGGGAGTTTCCCTGGCACCAGGTTTCTCCCTAACCCAACAATGGCTCCCTCTATCAAGGTATCTCTTTCATTGCTCCCCCTCTCTGCCCCTCCCCCAACTCAGCTATTCCGTTCCCTCATGTTCTTATCCTCTTCCCCTTGGTTTTAAATTTTATTTCTACTCATCTTGAAATTTATTGTTTCCATTTGGCAGTGTGGGGGACGGAATGAACCTAGAGATGTACGTGTATGTATCTGTGAGAGTGGGTATATGCAAATGAGTTCTACAGACACTCCCAGAATCCAGCTAGACCAGACTGACCTCAGACTCCCTGTGTGGCTGAGGATGACCTTGAGCTCCTGATCCTTCTGCCTCCACATCCCAAGTTCTAGGATTACATATATATATGTGTGTGTATATATATATATATATGTATATATATATATATATGATCTATTTCTTTTTTCTTCTCCTAATGTGGATAATTAGCAAGCATTAAGTCACATATGTATTGGGGGAAATGGTGACAGGGAAGGTCTGGTTTAGTTCATGATTCTGTGCCAATGTTACTTTCTTAACATTGCATTTGCCAAAGTTATGCAACACACTAATCTTTGGAGAAATGGGCGAAGGGTTTAGAGGAGCTTTCTGCAGCTTTTCTGTAAATGGAAAATAACCAGGCACTAATGGTTCGTGCTTATAATCTCAACACTTGGGAGGCTGAGGCAGGGGGATTGCCACCATTTCAGACTAAACTGGGCTACCTGGTGAGTTTCAAGCCAACCCAATCTATAGTGTAAGACACTGTCTCAAGAAAAACTGATTGAGCTGCACTGAGGAGGGACACACAGGTGGATCTCTGTGAGTGTGAAGCCAGTCTGGTCTACATAGTAAGTTCTAGGCCTCCCAGGGCTATATAGTAAGACCCTGTCTCAGGGGTTGGAGAGATGGTTCAGTGGTTAAAAGCACTGGCTGCTCTTCCAGAGGTCAATTCCCAGCAACCACATGGTGGCTCACATCCATCTGTAGTGAGATTTGGTGTCCTCTTCTGGCCTGTAGGCAACCATGCAGGCAGAACACAGTATACATAATAAATAAATAAATCTTTTTTAAAAAGACCCTGTCTCAAAAAAAAAACCAAAATTATTCCCAAAAGAAAAGTGCAACCCCCCATTATATATGTAATTGTATTATAACTCTGTTATAGAATATATTAGTTTTTAAGTATCTTTTTTTTGTTTTTTTGTTTTTGTTTTTATTTTTCAAGACAGAGTTTCTCAGTAGCTATGCAGCCTGTCCTGAAACTCACTCTGTAGACCAGGCTGGCCTCAAACTCACATAAATCCCCCTACCTCTGCCTCCCGAGTTCTGGAATTAAAGGCGTGCACCACTACTGCCCGACTTAATATCCTTTTATTTTTGAGACAGAGTTTTTGTTTTTGTTTGTTTGTTTGTTTTGTTGTCATTGTTTTATCTTATTAAAAAAAGAAAAAAACAAATTGAGACAGAGTTTATGTATCTCAGACTGGCCATGAACTCCCGTAGCCCAGGATGACCTTGAACTTCTGATCTTTCTGCTCCCACCTCCTAAGAACTGAGATCACAGGTTAAACCACCAGACCGGGTTTATGCAATGTTGTGAATCAATCAGGCATTTGGGCTTGTCGGAGAAGTTCTGTGCCAACTTAACTACAACCCAGACACATTACATACATTCTGTGTGCGTGGGTGCAGTTTGTTTAATATATATATTGGTTTTTTGAGACAGGGTTTGTTTGTTTGTTTGTTTGTAGCTTTGGAGCCTTTCCTGGCACTAGCTCTTGTAGACCAGGCTGGCCTCAGACTCACAGAGATCTGCCTGCCTCTGTCTCCTGAGTTCTGGGGTTAAAGGTGTGCACCACCACCACCCGGCCCTAATTTTTTTTAATTCTTTTATATTATGTATGGGTGTTTTGCTTGCTTGTGTGTCTGTGTTTATGCAGGGTTCATAGAAGCCAGAAGAGGGTGTTGAATCCTCTGGGACTAGAATTATAGATGGTAGTCCACCATCATGTGTGTGCTGGGAACGGAACCCAGGTCCTCTGGGCAGTTAAGAGCCAGTGCTCTTAACCCCTGACCCATCTCTCCAGCCCCTTGTTGTTAAAATAGCTTTGTAAGAACTTCCGCCCTAAAACTAGGTATAGTGATGGCACCTGTCTGTAATCCCAGCATTTGGGAAGGGGAGGCAAGGTGATCAGGAATTCAAGGCTAGCCTGAGCTACACAGTGAGTCCAAGGTCAGCCTGAACTACCGGAGACCCTATCAGAGAGAGAGAGAGAGAGAGAGAGAGAGAGAGAGAGAAGTTAGGGGCCCCACACATCTCTGGACTTCTAGCCTAATTACCCTGTATTCTTTCTGGGGGCTTTGGTGAGGATGCCTGCAGGCACTTCTGCTCACTGCATGAGGCTGGGAAGATGAGAGCACAGGCTGGGGATCTGGGGTTCCTGCAGCTCAGCTGGGAAGGGCTGGGGCTAGTCTGAGATTCTCTGGACTTTCATTGGTTGGTTAGAGACTTTTATCTCAGGCCAATTTCAGCCAGGACCTCGGGAGCAGCTGCTGTAGCCTGAAGGCAGGAACTGGCAGGCTGCTTCTGACCCTAAGCTTCTCAAATCCTGAAGCTGACACGTGGTGTTACAACAGGGTCCTGCAGGTGTCCTGGAGTTCGGGAGGGACCTCAGATGTGCCTCTTAACCCACCTATCTGCTTCAGGCTCCAACCGCCTGCAGCCACAAGGCCGCCTGCAGTCACAAAGTCTGGCTACCACAAGCTGGTAGTCCTGTTCTCACAGCAGGTCCTGAAGCAATCCCCTGCCTCAGGCTTCCACAAACAACAGAGCACCTGCCTCTGCATCCTCTACAGGATTCAGCCTCCAAAGACTGCAGGTGGGGTAGGCCAGTCAGGGAGAGCTCTCTCTTCAGCAACTGAGGGACCAGGCTAGTTTGGTTAGCACAGGCCTGTAGCCCGCCACTGGCCACCCTCCACTGTCCAGATGTCAGCAGAGCCCCATGGCCTGTCCTGACATGCACCTTCCCCTTCACTGCCCTGCAGTGCACTTTGTCTCGCCGCAGCCAGATGTGCCGACTTTGGTGCTGGCTGCCTCTAAACGAGGTACATATGTGCAGTCTGGCCTGGGCTGCCACTACCAAGGAGAAGGGAGGCCCCAGGGGAGAGCGGGCTACAGCTGGCCACGCAGTGAAGGAGGGAGGAGAGATGCTTGGGGAAAGATTCCTGCTGGTAGTCGAGCTGGATCTCTGTCTAAATAAGGACCTGGCTTTGGGGCGCTCCTCCAGGCTCAGGAGTGCTAGGAGAGCTTCTGGAGCTGTACCCCTGCCTTCTCCTAACAACTGGGGTGCTGGCATTGCTTGTTTCCCTTTTCCCTCATCATAGAAATTATGAACAGAGATGAAATACAATTTAGGAAACTCAATATAAACCAGGCCCGGTGACCCATGCTTGCAATTCCAGGTTAGAGGAATAAGGTGGCTGAGGCAGGAGGATACCAAGCGCAAGACTGGGTAATTCTGTGAGGTAAAGGATGGATAAACTGGCTGAGTTGGTACAGGTGCTCATTGCCAAGACTACTGACTTGTGTTCAATTCCTAGGACCCACTAGGACTAGCACTCGCCTAGCAACTCGGTGGAAGGGAGGAATGAAATCCTGAGGTGTCCTCCATCTGCGCAGGCTCGCGGTTTCATGCCCACCCACGCACATACAGTAAGAAGCGCACTATTCACCAGTTGCTTCCACTGACGGCAGAGCACCAGGTTGTCTTCCCTGAGCTCCTATGGTAACTAGCACTGCGGTGAGCAGCCTCCAGCTTGCACAGAAACCGTCCAAGAAATGCAACTGTTGGAGGCTCGCGATGTGGCAAAGGTGACAGTGTTTGCATCCATGAAAGCCTGGGAGCCATCCCCAGCACTGCCCACAACCAGGTATGACAGAGGAGTCTTGTAAAGTTAGCACTCCGAAGTCGAAGGCAGGAGGATCCGAAGCTCAAGGCTATGCTTGGGCTATGTGAAAATCACCTCAAGGGGCTGGAGAGATGGCTCAGAGGTTAAGAGCATTACTTGCTCTTCCAAAGGTCCTGAGTTCAATTCCCAGCAACTACATGGTGGCTCACAACCATCTGTAATGGGGTCTGTTGCCCTCTTCTGGCCTGCAGGCATACACACAGACAGAATATTGTATACAAAGTAAATAAATAAATTTTTAAAAAAAAAAAGGAAAATCACCTCAAAATAAACACTTCCATAGGCAGGAGGATCTCTGTGAGTTCCAGTCTCCACATGCAGATACAATGAAAACCAATTCGGGCTAGGGAGATGGCTCAGGAGGACGAGGCACCCGCCACCAAGCCAAGCCTGATAACCTGGGTCCGAGCCTCAGGACTCGCCTGACAGAAGGAGAGAACCAGCTCCCGAAACTTGTCCTCTCACCCCACGTGTAGCATGGCATGCAGGTGGTCACACATGAGCACATAATAACCAAGTAGAAACAAAAAGATGCCGTCGTTCTTGCCAATCTGAAGCCAACCCGGACTTCTCCGGGAAGAGGAAATCTTACTGAGAAAACGCCTCCATCAGGTTAGCGTGTGGGGCAATCTGTGGGGACATTCTCTTGATTGATGGTTGACGTGGGAGGACTCAGCCCGCAGTTGCAGGCGTCACCCAGACAGGTGGTCCTAGGTGATATAAGAAGGCAGACTGGGTAAGCCATGGGGAGCAAGTCAACGATGCTCCTCCAGTGGCCTCTGCTTCAGTTCCTGCCTCCCGGTTCTGAGTGTTTGCCCTGACTTTCCTCAGGAACTGACACCTGTCTCTTGGGATAAGTAAACCAAATAAACCTTTTCCTCCCATGTTGCTTTTGGCCACAGTGTTTTATCACAGCAATAGAGACCTTACCCGAGACAAGTGTAATAATAACATTTAAATACATATCCAATTCATCCCAGCACTTGAGAGAGGCAGCAGGGGACTCCTCCTCCTCCTCCTCCTCTTCTTCTCCTTCTCCTTCTTCCTCCTCTCCCTTCTCCTCTTCTTCTCCTTTTTTTACTTTTTGTTTTTTTGGGACCAGGTTTCTGTAGCTTTTGAGCCTGTCCTGGAACTTGCCCTGTAGACCAGGCTGGTCCCAAACTCACAGAGATCCCCCTGCCTTTGCCTCCCTGAGTGCTGGGTTTAAGGCACGCACCACCACCACCCTACCCAAGAATCAGAGCTTCAAGGTCACCTGTGGCAAGGTAGCAAGTTTCAGGTTAGCCTGGGCTACACAAAGTTGTATGTCAAAAGGAAAAAGGAAAGAAACGTGATCACTGCTCATGTTAGAAAACATTGCTTCTTTGTTGCTTGTTAAGGTTTTTTTGTTTTTGTTTTTAAAGATTTATTTATTTGCTATATATCCAACGTTCTGTCTGCATGTATGTCTGCGCACCAGAAGAGGGCACCAGATCTCATTACTGGTGGTTGTGAGTCACCATGTGGTTGCTGGGAATTGAACTCAGGACCTCTAGAATAATAGCCAGTGCTCTTAACTGCTGAGCCATCTCTCCAGCCCAGTGTGTTTTTTTTTTTTTTTTTTTTTTTGAGACAGGGTTTCTCTGTGGCTCTGGAGTATGTCCTGGAACTCTGGAATTAGCTCTTGTAGACCAGGCTGGCCCCAAATTCACAGAGATCCACCTGCTTCTGCCTCCTGAGTGCTGGGATTATAGGCGTGTGCCACCATCGCCCAGTCAGTGTTTTGGTTTTTTAGATGTACTTATTTTATGTGTATGAATGCTTCACCTTCATGTATGCACATATGTGTACCATGTGTGTATAGAGATCAAAAGAGGACATAGGATGCCCTGGAACTGGAGTTGTGGATGGTTGTGAGCCACTGGATGGGTGCTGGGAATTGAACCTGGTTCCTCTACAAAAGCCATCATTACTCTTAACTGCTGAGCCATCCCTCCAACTCCAAAGATCAGGGGATTCTGACTGAGGGTAGAGGAAGGAAGCTCCTCTTTGCTCTTGGGGTGTGTTCCTTGCTGCCTGTCAAGAAGAAGGAGGAAGGACCAGAGAAATTGATGGTCTTTATCCCTGTCCGAGGGCCTGCACGCAGCAGGTACCCCTGGGCCTGTGCCAGCCCACTCTGCCAGGAGTCCTTGCTTTCTTTGCTTCCCCTCAGCCTCCGTGCCCAGGAGCTCTAGCTTCTTCTTGTCGCCTGTCCCCCACTATTATGAACTACTCTCACTGGAGCCCCAACAACAACAACAACAAATCATGTCCACGTCCACGGCAGAGGGCTCAGGCTAAGGGCAGCTTTCCCCAGAAGGATGCGTCCCAGCTGGGTGAGTGTCCTTTCTCCTCCTCCTTAATCTCTAGCTGTGTTGTTTAGAGATGAGGTTTCACGGAATCCAGGCTTTCCTTGAACTCAGATCTGCCTGTCTTGACCTCCCAAGTGTCGTGATTACCGGGGGTACACATCAATCTGGCTTCTTCTTCCCTTCCCTCCTTTCTCACGGTGCTGATTGGAAATAGAACCCTCCACACCTCATGCAAGTGCACAGACTCTGTTAAGCGTTAAGCACGCCACCACTTGAACTACTTCCCCATCCGTGAGTCAGGTCTCTTTCGTAAAACCAAAGCTAAGGTAGCGAATCTAGAAAAACACCCATGTGCGTGCAAGCACAGCACAGCGAAAAGCTCCGTCCAGGACCCTGCTCAGGCCACACTCCCATGGGCTTTGGCGATTCCCATCATCACAAGGAGCCATATACATGGTGTCTATACAGCACCATCCCATTTACACGAAGGCCAGGGATGTTACATTTGCCTCCCGTAGAGTCGCAGAATTGACTGAAACAAGCAGGTCCCAGCTATCAGCCATCCTTTAGTCTCAATTTCAAAATCCCGGAGGCTTTGAAAGCCACAGGCTAGATAAGCCACGTGTTATCACAGCTCGCCTGGCTGCAAAGCTTGACCTCATGTGAACTCAGCTGGCAAGAAAACAGACCCGGATTGAGGTGAAGTTATTTCACAGTCATTGGTTACACCTCCCAGCACGTGAATATTCATAGAGTTTGCTCAGAAAGCTCTCTGTATTTGCCCAGTGCTGGCCCAGAACCTGCCTGGCCATTTACAATATACAGCACAATCCGCTGACCTTCTCAAAGTGGTGAGTGATTCTGAGTTCTAAAAACCTTTTCCAGCTCCAGGATTCCAGAAGCAATTATGGGCCTATATGTTTAACGAAATTTCTCCTTCAAAAACCAATGAGCATGCCAGGTGTGAGGATCCACGCCTGTGAATAGCAGCATTTGGGAGGCAGAGACAGGAGGATCAGAAATTCAAAGTCAACTATATAACACATTTACTGCCAGCCTGGGCTACATGAGAGCCGTGGCATTCATTTCAAAGAAACAGAGGCCAGGAGTGGTGGGGTTTCACCTTCAGCGCCTGTACTCAGGAGGCAGAAGCAGGCAGATCTCTATTAGTTCTAGGCCAGAATGGGCTATATATTGAGTTCCAGGAGATACAGTGAGACCCTATCTCGAAGGACAGTATTATAGATGGATACATTTTGTGTCATGCTATCTGCAATTCTAATACTTAGAAAGCTGAGTGAGACAGGAAAATCTCAAGTTCAAGGTTAAGCCATGGTGACGTGTCAAGTGTGGGGATGGTTGGGCCTATGAGCGAGGGAGGGAGGGAAGAAGAAGTAAAGAAAACAGCAAAAGTGAAGAAATAAAAGAAAAAAGAGGACAACCAGCCAAACATGATAGCTTTCCAGGAAACCAAGGCAGTAGATGTTTAAGTACAGGTTTCCCTACACAACGGCAGTCTCAGAAAAATTAAAAGAAAAAAAGGAAGAAGAGGAGGAGAAGAAGGGATCAGAGAGATCCTCAGCAACTAAGAGAAATTGTAGCTCTTCCAGAGGACCCAGGTTCGGTTCCCAGCATGCACATAGTAGCTCATAGTCATCAGTAACTCCTATCCCAGGGCACTGTACACACATGAAGCACATATGTACATGCATGAAGAAGCACCCATGTACATAAAATTAAGGTAAATTTTTTTAATATAGGAGCCAGACATATGGTGTACACACAATATGCCCCCACTTATATGAAGTACAAGAATAGACAAAACCAACTGATGGAGGCGGAACTGCGCCTGGGTGAGGGTGACTGGTCCAAGAGGTCCAGACACCTGGGACTCTCCAGCAATCTGAAGGCTAGAGGCTGCATGCATGTATATACACACATATAGAAATGTGTCAAGCAAAAAAAGGAAGAAAGAAAGAAAGAAAGAAAGAAAGAAAGAAAGAAAGAAAGAAAGAAAGAAAGAAAGGAAGGAAGAAAGGAAGAAAGAAAGAAAGAAAGATGCCAAGCAGGAGCCATAAAGATTTTAGTTTAGGGGCTGAAGAGATGACTCAGAAGTTAATAGCATTTTGGCTGCTCTTCCAGAGGACCCAGGTTCAATTCCCGGCACCGACATGGTGGCTTGCAACTGTCTGGAACTCTGGCTCCAAGAGATCCGACACCTTCACACAGGCATACATGCAGGCAAAACATCACTGCACATAAGATAAAAATAAACAAATATTAAAGATGATTTTAGCTTTTTTTCTTTCCTTTTTTAATTAATTAATTATTTAGTTATTTATTTAGCTAGTTTGTTTATTTGAGACAGGGTTCCTCTATGCAGTCTTGGATATCCTGGAACACTCTGTAGACCAGGCTCAGAGATCCATCTGCCTTTGCCTCTGGAGTGCTGGGATTAAAAGCATGCATCACTACCACCCAGCCCTAAAATAATCTTTTAAAACTTTTTTTTTTTTTTGATTTTTCAAGACAGGGTTTTTCTGTAGCTTTGGAGCCTGTCCTGGAACTAGCTCTTGTAGACCAGGCTGGCCTCGAACTCACAGAGATAGCCTGCTTCTGCCTCTGAGTGCTGGGATTAAAGGCATGCACCACCACTGCCTGGCTACTTTGAAAACTTTTTGACAGAGTTATTTTTATGTGTGCGTATGTGTGTTTTCTCAGAAGCCAGAGGAGGACATTGGATCCCATGGAGGTAGACTTCCAGGCGGTTGTGAGCGGCCCGATGTGGGTGACGGGAACTGAGCTAGAGTCCTCTGGGAGGAACCGACGGCATTCCCAGTCACCGTTCCACCTATCTGGTTTTCTCTGTTCCAGGCTGGCCTCCCCAGTGGTGTAGCAAAGAATAGCCCTGGACTCCGGATCGTCTTGCCTCAGCAATATTGGGATTACAGATGTGTGTCACCACACCTAGCTCTAATCTCTGTTTTGAAAGTGATTGTATGGACAAAGAATTTGGGGGGTCAGGCTTGCTTCAGTGAGCCTTCGACACACACACCAGCCCACTCACACTGCCCCACACTCCCGTGGTACCCTGGAGGCCTATGGATCCGGCCCACCTCGAGGGCCTGGCTCTCAACCTACCAGACTATGGGATACACCGATCTGGCCCTGGCAGCCACCCACGATGTTGCCAGTCAGCACTTGTACCTAGACAATAATATCCTGTAATTGCAGCTAGGATTTGGAATTTGTGTCTGAGAACAGAAGGGTACAGGAGATTCCCTCATTAAACAGGTCCGATAACAATTTATTTCTAAGAGGGCAGAGGGAATTTCTTCCCTGGACTCTTCTTGCTCAATAGTTCATTGCAGGCAGGCAGCTCTGTCTGCCAACCCTCACACCGGCTCCACCTCCTCCTCCTTCCCACCTCTGTCCTATCTGGGCCCCAGAACTGGCACACGAGGGCCTTGTTCCAGTGGCCAGCACCTCCCCTGACCTTACTCTACCCACGCCCAGCCTCCCTCTGTGTCCACGCAAAGGGCACTGGCCTGCCAGGTGGCCTTGCTGTCCTCCACTGCCCCAGTCCCTATGAAGAACACTCAGAATATAAACAAACAAATCCACTTGGGGTTTTTCCTCATCTCTGCACAACCACACTGCCGGTCAGAGGCTGCCCGACCAATGGGAATACCCTGTGGTGTCTAAAGTGCCAGCCACCAGCGAGCACAGTGGCCTGTCCATCCACGGGTGGCTAGGTGCCTCAGAAAATAAATATAAGCCAGGCATGGATGCACACGCCATTAGTCCCAGCACTCGGGAGGCAGAGGCAGGCGGATCTCTGTGAGTTCGAAGCCAGCCTGGTCTACAGAGCGAATTCTTGGACAGCTAGGGCTATACAGAGAAACCCAGATTTGAAACAAAGAAACAAAACAAGACAGGAGCTAAACTTTAATGCAAATGTGTTTACACCTTTTCTTCTATTTTCCTTGGGTTTATTTTATTGCTTTAGTAATTAGTTGAAATGGATATTTCCAAGTAATTTTTTAAAATGTTTATTTATTTAATTTTTAATTGGGAGGAGATGGTTGAGACAGGGTATCATGTAGCCCAGGCTTGTTTCTTACTCCCTATGTAGCTGAGGCTGGCTTTGAACTCCAGGTCCTCCAACCTCCATCTCGGAATTATAGGCATAGGCCACTATGCTTGGATCATGTACTTAAAAAAAATTATTACATTTTATTTGCATGCGTGTGCACACCATAGTGAGCATGTGGGGTCAGAGGGCAGCCTGGGGAGTCAGTTCGCTCTTTCTCTCCCATGTTCATCGCAGGGACCGGATACAGGTTGTCAGACTGGGCAGCACCTGCCTTTGCTCGCTGGACCATTTTGCTGGCCCTGGGTGGTCAGCTTTAAAATTTATTGTTAATTTTCTTTAGTGGCAGGTTTCATTTGTATGTATATACAACATTACGCTTTATTCTTCCTTGTCTCCTCAACCCATAACATTCCCACTTCCTCCTCCGCCCTGGCCTGGAACTTGTTAAGTAGACCAGGCTGGCTTTGAACTCACAGAGATCTTCCTGCCTTTGGCAGCCTCCTGAGTGCTAGGATTAAAGCCGTCTCTTCTGGCAAATTTTCTCCTTTTTTTCTTTTTTTTTTTTTTTTTTTTTGTTGACTAACGTAACTCTTGCGAATAGAACCTCTGGTGTATAGAGTCACCTAACAGCCCACCCTAGCATTCAAGAAATGCCCACCAAACCCCCCCCCCCAGCATTGTTGGAAAGTTGCATTGTGTGCCTTTTGTAAAACATGCTGAGAAACCTCAGGAGGACCATGCCATGAGTACTGGGACCAGGTCGCACTCCTCCCTGAGCCCTAGTCCTCAGCAATGGTGGTCCTGCTCCATTCCTGCCACCAGGCAAAATTATACTTCCATCCCCTGACACTATATAACCCAAACCCGCACTCCACACCAAGACTCCCCAAACCCACACCCTCTTACCTCCATTCCATGCCCCAAGTCCTTATACCTCAACCTCACTCACACCCACATCACAGGTGTGGTTCTTCTTTCTTTTTTATTTTGGTAGGGTTTTTATTTTAAGGTGATTTCTGGGGGCTGACCCACTAAGAGCACTGGCTGCTCTTCCAGAAGACTGGGGATCAATTCCCAGCACCCACATCAGGCAGCTTACAACCACCTGTAACTGCAGTTTCTACAAGCTCATTGTGCAGATAAATTCATGTAGACACACACACACACACAAGATAAAAACAAACAAATACATAAGGTGAGTTCTGATAAACCTTAGGCTAGCCTCGGACCCTCAACCCTCCTGCCTCAGCCTCCCTCGTGCTGGAATTTCAGGTCTATAGCCCTGTGCGTGGCCTCCTCCCCCACCGCCACGGGATCTTGCTGTGCAGTCCTGGCTGGCCTGGAACTCACAGAGATCCACCTGCCACTGCTGGAACTAAAGACTTGAGCCCCCACACCACACCTCAATTTTTTTAACATTTATTTATTTATTTATCATATATGTATATTGTGGCCATGCCTGTCACCGTGGGTGTGTGGACGTAAGGAGACAATGTACAGAAATCAGTTCTCTCCGGCTACTGTGTGGGTTCCAGAGATTCAGGTCACCAGGCTAGCCAGCAGGTGTCTTAACTCATGAAGCCATCTCTCCTGCCCCCATTCTCTCTTATTTAAATAAATTTAACAGGTAATCCCAGCACTTGGGAGGCAGAGGAAGGAGGATTGCTAAGAGTTCCAGGCCCACGAGGTCTCCTTAGTGAGACCCTGCCAAAAAGAAAAGAAAGAGAAAAAGAGGAAGAGAGAAAGGGGGAAATAACCCTAACCCCTGTGGGTTCGCCTGCTTCTGCTCACCTGCGACACATCCTAACTGGACATTTGACGTCCTTCCCTTTTGTAGGGAAAAAGGAGAAAATTTTAAAAAAAAATTTTTTTTCAAATATCAATAATATCAAATATCAGTAAGCTTTAAACTTTGGGTTTTTCTTTTATGCCCATTACACAAGGTCATTACTATAACCAGTCTACACCTGAAATCAAGGGCGGTACAATTAGGGGACACGGTGGGAAAGCAGACATCGTGATTGAGGCCCACAGGGAACACAAAAAAGGTCTTCCCATCTTTCTTTTCTTGCTTTGAGAAGAGTGACCTTGAGATCCTGCCCCTGCTGCCTCCACCTCCATAGTGCTGGGATCACAGTCTGCACCACACGGCATTGTTTGGGTTGTGGGATGGGAACTGGGGCCTCCTGCGTGCTAGGCAAACCTTCTACTAACCAAGTATGTCCTACCTTTCTTGTCTAGACATACCAAATGGCATGCCGTATCACCTGTCCCCTCTCTCTGAGGGCAAGCTGACCAAAGCCCCAAGCACACGGATTTAATAGGCTAACTGGGGTGCTCCTGGGTGACCCCACCCCAGGACGCTGTTCTTATTAACTAGGCCAAAAGCTTCAGCCCAGTGACTCAATGGGGCTCTGAAATCCCAGTTTCTCAACCTGGACCCGGAGGCTCGGCAGCCAGGCCCAGCCTGCCACACAGGACCTGCTGACTAGCTGAGCCTGCTCTCCCACTGTCAGTCACCTCAGCCTGGGTCCCGCCTCCCCAGCCTGAGCCCCGCCTCCCTACTGCTGAGCCCCGCCTCCCTACTGCTGAGCTAGCTGCTTCTCAGCCTTTTACATCAACAGGCATCTCCATCCAGCTCTTGGTAAATGGGGGGACAAAGATCAGGGATTCAAGGACAGCCTGGGCTACAGGAGACCCTGTCTAAAAGCAATAAATAATTAGTTAAATAATCATGGTAAAATTGCATAATATGGGACAAGCAAGATGGCTCAACAGGTAAAGGCTCTTGCTTCAGTACCTGGCAACCTGGGTTCAGAACCGGGAACCCACAGGATGGAAGGAGAGACTGTCCTCTGACCTCCACATGAACACACACACACACACACACACACACTAACAAATCAATGAGTAACCACAGCAGAGTGTGGTGTGTGCTGGCACAGCCCTTTAATCTCAGTGCTCCAGAGGCAGAGGCAGCCAGATCTCTTTGAGATCAAAATCAACCTGGTCCACACAGCTAATCTGGGCCAGCCAAGGCTAAAGTGGGACGCTGTCTCCTTTGTTTGTTTTTTTTTTAAAGTGCAATATATATAAATGTATCATTTGTCCATATTTGGTAGCTCCTGTTCTTTTCTTTCCTTTTTCTCTGAGACA